TTTATTCCTGAATGAAAATTCTATTTCACATCTATGTAGCCTTTCCAGATACCACACTAAGTAAGGATCTGCTTTGAGTAACTTTCAGCATTGGTAGTGTTTCTGTAAGTTACAGGACAAATGGGTATTTATATTTAATAGAGAATTTGTAACCGGCTCCGTAAGCAGGAAAACATATTTTATGTTGCAGTTGTTTTCTTATAGTTCTCTTATGTTTCATGTTCCTCGGCCAGTAAGAATTGCTGACTACAATGTTGTAACTTTCTGTTGCACTGATGCCATCCCTTTGTAGTTTCTTTTCCAGGAATGGACCTCCTTGCAGCTGAGGGCTAACTACTGAAACTCGCACCACCTGTTTGTCCAGGAAAAAACAAGATAAGCGATATGCCACTACAGATGGTGCCCAGGGACCCACTGAGCGGGGACACAGGGCTGAAAGACTGACTAATATTAACCCCTACTTCATTATAATACTAAAATCTCTGACCTGGGAGGGACTTGTCCACCATTACTTAGCTCATGAGATAACTGTACTAGCATTGATTCTTACCATCCCTGTGCGCTTCACTCCACCCCAGACACATAATGATGTCAACTCTCCTCATGTAGTATTCGTTTTCACTGCCAGAAATGTTCCTTGACTCTGTTGGTCAGGGGGGCTATTTGAGGCCTGCAGTAAAACCTTTGTTTTTTGACAATTGTCATCTCAATAATTGGTTTTCTATGCAGCAAGCAACATCCAAACACCCCACCCCTTTTTTGTTCGTTAACAAAAATGTGAAGAATGTTTGAATAGCTTAAAAAAAAAAAAAACTTAGGCCAGGTAAGACAAATATTATGATATAACAATTTAGCTAGATTACTTTGGAAAGAATATTAATGCCCTTTTAGGCCTCCCTCCCCCCAACATACCAAAATGTTTTATAAACATAAATGATAATCTAAGGCAAAGGACTTACAGTTAGATTATACTGTGGATTATATGGTGGCCTAAGATTCAAAATGCTGAAAATAGGCATGTGATTCTGGGAAGGCATGGGAAATAATTTAGGTGTCAGGTGTCCTTAGGCCCTGGGACTACAGGACATGATGAATTGGGTCTTTTGGAGGCAGAAAACATAAAGCAGCTTACAAAAGGGTGGCAGTCAGTTCCAGACTTGCCCCAAACACGACCTAGGGCAGAGCAGAGACTTCATGGGGAATGATGCTCGTGACAACATTAGTCATTTACTACTAGTACTGTTACTAGTAGTAAACTTGGGTTATTCTGTCATCACTGTTTGGCTGGTATAGTCCAGCAGCTTTGGAAGTTCCTAGAATAACTGAAGGAACTGTTTGAAGTCCATTGATGGACACTTTAGATTAATTCCAAATCATGGCTATTGGCCAGGCATGGTAGCTCACACCTATAATCCTAGCACTCTGGGAGGCCAAGGTAGATGAGATAAGTTTGAGACCAGTTTTGAGCAAGAGTGAGACCCTGTCTCTCTTACTAAAAATAGAAAAACTCGCCAGCCATTGTGGCAGGTGCTTGTAATCCCAGCTACTCAGGAGGCTGAGGCAAGGGGATCACTTGAGCTCAAGAGACTGAGGTTGCTGTGAGCCAGGATGATGCCACAGCACTCCACCCAGGGTGACAAAGTGACAAGTTCTGTCTCAAAACGAACAAATCTGGGCTACTGTGAGTAGTGCTACGATAAACATGGGAGTGCAGGTATCTCATACATGTTTCCTTTCTTTTGGATGTATACCTAGAATGGGATTGCTGGGTCATACAGTAATACTCTTTTTAGTTTTTTGAGGAACCTTCACAGAAATCTCCACAGTGGTTGCACTAATTAATGTTCCCACTAACAACGTAGGAATATCCCCACTCTCCATCCTCTCCAGCATTCCTTATTGCCTGTCTTTATAGTAAAAGCCATTTTAACTGAGATGAGATCATATCTCATTGTAGTTTTGATTTTCATTTCTCTGGTGAGTAATGATGTTGAGCATTTTTTCATATAACTGTTGGCCACTTGTATGTCTTCTTTTGAGAAATGTCTATTCATGTCTTTGCCCATTTATAAATCAGATTATTTAATTATTCTTTCCTGTTGAGTAGTTGGAGCTCCTTATATAGTCTCTAGTTATTAACCCTTTGTCAGATGGGTAGTTTGAAAATATTTTCTCCCATTCTGTGGATTCTCTCTTCACTTTGGTGATTGTTTCCTTTGCTGTACAGAAGCTCTTTAGCTTGATGTGACTTCATTTGTCCAATTTTGTTTTGGTTGCCTATGCTTTGGGGATATTACTCAAGAAATCATTGCCCAGACCAATGTCCTGAAATGTTTCCCCAATGTTTACTTTTAGTAGTTTTATAGTTTGAGGTCTTAGATTTAAGATTTTAATCCATTTTTATTTAATGTTTGTATATGGCAAGAGATGAGGATCTAGTTTCATTTTTCTGCATATGGATTTCCCAGCACCATTTATTAAAGAGACAGTCCTTTCCCCAATGTATGTTCTTGGCATCTTTATCAAAGATAAGTTCATTATAGATGTGTAGATTTATTTCTGGATTCTCTATTCTGTTCCATTGGTCTATGTGTCTGCTCTTATGCCATTGTTTTGATTACTATAGCTCTGTAGTATAATTTGAAGTCAGGTAATGTGATTTTTCCAGTTTTGTTCTTTTTGCCCAGGATGGCTACTCTGGATCTTCCATGGTTCCATATGAATTTTAGGATTGTTTTTTCTATTTCTGTTAAGAATGTCATTGGTATTTTGCTGGGATTGCATTAAGTCTATAGATCGACTTTGGGTAGTATGGAGATTTTAACAATATCAATTCTTCTGATCCATGAGTATGAACTCTTTCCATTTTGGGGATTTCTTTCACCAGTGTTTCATAGTTTTCATTGTAGAAATCTTTTATTTCTTTGGTTAAAGTTTTCCTAGGTATTTTATTTCACTTGTACCAAATGTAAATGAGATTACTTTCTTGATTTTTTTTCAGATTGTTTGCTGTTGTAATACAGAAATGCTAGTGAAGTTTTACATGTTGATTTTATGTCCTGCAATTTTACTGACATTGTTTATCCATTTTAAAAGGCCTTTTTTGTTTTTATTTTTTTGGCATTTGCAGAGTCTTAGCTTCTCTAGATATTAGAGAGTATCACCTGCAAACAAAGATAATTTGACTTTCTCCTTTCCAATTTGGGTGCCCTTTATTTCTTTCTCTCATCTGACTACTCTGACTATAACTTTCAGGGCTATGTTGAAAAACAGTGGTGAAAATGTCTTGTTCCAGATCTCACAGGAAAGGCTTTCAGATTTTCCCCATTCAGTATGATGCTAGCTATGGATCTGTCTTATATGGGTTTTATGGTGTTGAGGTAAGTTCTCTCTATACCTAGTTTTGCTTTTGTTTGTTTGTTTTGGATTCATTGGGGGTAAAAGAATTAGGTTACGCTGATTGCATTATACCTAGGGTTTTTTTTTTTCCCTTCTGTACTTTCTTTTCTTATCATCATAGTCTTTGCATCAAGATACATAGCAATGATAGCATGTTTCTTTGTAAAGCTCAGTATTGAATATTAAATGTCTTTCCCCACTTTAATTTTACATTCCTCTGCCAAGAAAAAAATAATTAAAACTCAAGTTATTTTAAGCCTGGACACACTTCCATGATTAGCTGGGCTATGTAAAAGTTGATGGCTTTATTCTTCCTGCTGTGTAAGCAGATCCAGGCCCTAGAAAGATGGGACCAGGTTATATAATTGTTTTTGAAAAGTGTGCTACAAAATGGATGGCCTGTTAAAAGCCAGGCTACAAAGTAAGGAAGGGGATAAGAGAAGGACATTTTCTTCCAGAAAAAAAACCCAGAATTTCTAAAGAGTCCTAGTCCATTATTTTTTCCCAAACTGGTGAAGGGGGGCTAAAATCTCAACATGAGTTTCAAAGTACTGTCTCTGTGAGGGGCCGGTAGTTACCTTGCAGAGGAGGGGCATGGCTAGGTTTGACCATTCCCACCCTTCCCAGCGAGGGGAATGGAAATGTTAAGTTTATTGCCCAGTGAATGTGAAAGTGGCCTGAAGCTTGGTTGGTACTAAATTCTCTAACAGGTTTCTTCTAGAAACAGACAACTCAGACTCTTCCTCTCACTTCAGCAAAGAAGTTATTTTTAAAAGCACTTGGGAAGTTCCTCCTCCACCCCTCTGCTGGGAAGGCTCAGAGAAGGGAGTCATCAGTACAGCCACCTTCCAGGCCGTAACGGAATTCCTGAAGGTTGGAGACTCCATAGAAGTGGACAAAGGCTGCTGCCACCACCAGGACATGGAAAATCTGATGAGACTGGAACCATATGTCGAATTTTCCAGGAAAGAAGCGCTCAGGAATTCGAGCAGCATAAAGGCCAGTTCCAGTGATGTACATCACAGCCATGAGGAAGAACCAGCCCATCTGGCCCACTGTGGTGGCCTTGACAAAGCCCTCAGAGATAGTGAAGTGCATGGTGGGCACAACACCACTCAAGCCAAGTCCCAGGAACACTCCTGCTCTTGTCTGCCGGTGCTTAGGAGTGGCAAACTCGTCCCACTGTACCACAATGATGGCAGAAATGCCCAGGACACAGACAATGGAGAGGTAGATGAGCCGTAGCTGTGGGGAGCAGTAGAAAGAGTAATAGAGCCAGGGGACAAAGCTCCCCATAATCAGCAGAGCGATCCCTGAATAGTCCAGTTTGGAAAAAGTCTGAGAGACTTTCTCGGAATGACAATAGACAGTGTGGAAGAGCCAGGAGAAGCTGAGACAGAGCACCGCACCCAAAAAGAACATCCCCCAAACCACCTTCTCCTGTAGAGGGACCAGGAAGTACATATTTGGTCTAAGCATGGTCAAGATTCCCAAAAAGAGAAACAGCACAAAACCAAGCAGATGGGTCCAGATGTTGCCAGTTTCTGCATGGATGCGGAAGATGCTCTTGAAACAAGCCCGAAAGGAGGGCATGGGTGGCCTATGGCCATGTAGCAGATAGTCATTGTCCTTCATCCAGTCAGGGAGCACATCATATGGGATGACTCTCCAGTGTCCCTCCCAGACCTTATATACAAACTCCTCCATCTTCTCCATGGCGTAGTGGGCTTGCAGGGGAAGTGTCAGTACCCGCAACTCTTCCTCCTCTTCCTGGGCGACTGAACATATTTGCTCTTCTTCAGCTTTGGTTGGGTTGGCAATTACACGTTTGCTTTTCTTTTCTAGCAGGGGTCCCAGTTCATCCAGTTCCACTGTGTCAGTGTCCCTGTTATCGGCAGGGGCCCCAATGCCCTGTGCCACCACAGATCCTTTCTGGGGAGACATTTGGCTGGTGGTATCTCAAGGCGCTGCAGCTTCAGCTGGGGGGGAAAGTTGGGGGTCTCTCAGCCCCAGGGGGCAGAGATCTCCCTGTGATGGTAGAAATGGTGGTCAGTTCCGGGGAAACTTAGAGCCAGAGTGTAGACTCTGCTCCGGACTGCGGTCCCCCACGCTACATCCTGCGGCCGTGTGGCCGGGGATCTTCAGCGCCCTCCCGGCGCCGGAAGGGGCGCGCGACCGCACGCGTCACCTCCGCAGGCGCGTCACTTCCTCGATGGCTCTACCTCGCCTTTCCAACCGCCTTTTTTTTTTCTTTTTTGAGACTGAGTCTCACTATGTCACCCTCCGTAGAGTACCGTCACAGCTCACAGCAACGTCAAACTCCTGGGCTTCAGCGATTCCCTTGCCTCAGCCTCCCGAGTAGCTGGGACTACAGGCACCTGCCGCAACGCCGGCGATTTTTTGGTTGGTTGCAGTTGTCATTGTTCTTTAGCAGGCCCAGGGCAGACTCGAACCCACCAGCTTTGGTGTATGTGGGTGGCGCCCTACACATTGAGCTACAGGCACTGAGCCTATACCCAGTTTTTTGCAAGTTTTTAATCATGAAGGGATGTTTAATTTTGTCAAATGCTTTTTCAGCATCAATTGAAACGATCATATGCTTTTTCTCCTTCATTCTGTTAATATGGTGATCACATTGATTGATTTGCATATGTTGAAATATCCTTCCATCCCTGGCATGAATCCCACTTGATCACAATCAATAATCTTTTTAATATCTTGTTGAATTCAATTTGCTTAGCATTATTTTTTATTTTTTATTTTTAAAAAAAGCTTATTCAAATTAATATGAGGGTATAATATTTAGGTTACACTGTTCTCACTTCCAGGGTAAAGTTCCATTTGTAGAAGAGCCCCTCACCCAGGGGGCGGGTTATACACCCTCACAATGCTCACGTTAGGTGAGATCCGGCCTCGTGCCCTCCCTCCTTCTGCCATACATCCTGCCCCTCCCCCTCCTGTTTCCCTTTACCCCCAACAGGACTATAATAGTATTTTATTGTTCATACGAGCATGTAATTGTTTATATATTGATTTCATATTAGTGTGGAGTACAGTAGATATTTATTTTTCCATTCTTGTGATACTTTACCAGGAAGAATGTATTTCAACTCCATCCAGGTAAGTGTAAAAAATGTAAAGTCTCCATTGTTTTTAATGGCTGAATAATATTCCATGGTATACATATACCACAGTTTTTTGATCCATTCATGGGTTGATGGGCACTTAGGTTGTTTCCACGACTTGGCAATTATGAATTCAGCCTCAATAAACCTTCTAGTGCAAATGTCTTGTTGTAAAATGATTTTTATTCTTCTGGGTAGATATCTAACCCTTTCTCTAAACTATTTCTCCAAAAGGGCTGTATTAGTTTGGAATCCCACCAGCAGTATAGAAGCATTCCTTTCTCTCCACATCCACGACAACATCTGGTGTTTGGGGACTTTGTGATGTGGGCTAATCTTGCTGGGGTTAGGTGATATCTTAACGTGGTTTTGATTTTCATTTCTCTGATGAGTAAGGATGATGAGCATTTTTTCATATGTTTGTTGGCCATTTATCTGTCATTTTCAGAGAAGTTTCTGTTCAAATCTCTTACCCACTGGTAGAGAGGGTTGCTTGCACTTATTGCTTAATTTGAGTTCTCTGTAGATTCTAGTTATCAGGCCTTTGTCAGGTTCATAACATGCAGAAGTCTTCTCCCATTCTGAGGGCTGTCTGTTTGCTCTGTTTGTGGTACTTTTAGCTGTGCAAAAGTTTTTAGCTTGATCAAGTCCCAGTTATTTATTTTGGTGTTGCAGCAATTGCTAGGGAGGTCTTCCTCAAAAAGTTTTTTTCCCAGGCCAATATCTTTAGGTGTTTCCCCACACTCTCTTATAGAATTTTTATTGTTTCATGTCTTAAATTTAAATCTTTTATCCAATGAGAATCAATTTTTGTCAATGGTGAGAGGTGCAGGTCCAGTTTCAGTCTTCTGCGTGTGCATAACCAGTTCTCCCAGCACCATTTGTTAAATAAGGAGTCTTTTCCCCAGTGCATATTTTTGTTAGGCTTATCAATGATTAAATGACAATAAGTAGCTGGGTTCATCTCTAGATTCTTGATCTTATTCCATAGATCTGTGTCTCTATTTTTGTGCCAGTACCATGCTATTTTGATCACTATAGCCTTATAATTAACCTGAAATCTGGCAACATGGTGCCTCCAGAACTTTTTTTATTTCTAAGAATTGTATTTGCTATTTGGGGGGGTTATGGTTCCATATGAATCAAAGTACTATTTTTTCAAGATCTTAAAAGTATGACATTGGTGCTTTTATGCATATTGCATTAAATCTATAGATTGCTTTGGGTAGTATGGACATTTTAGTGATGTTGATTCGCCCCAGCCATGAGCATGGCATGTTCTTCCATTTGTTGACATCTGCTATTTCCTTTCTCAAAGTTTCATAATTCTCTTTATAAAGATCTTTCATGTCTTTTGTTAGATATATTCCCAGATATTTCATCTTCTTTGGTGCTATTGTAAAAGGAATAGAGTCTTTGATTTCGTTCTCGGCTTGACAGTTGTTGGTGTATAAGAAGGCTAATGATTTGTGGGTATTGATTTTGTAACCTGAGACACTGCCATATTCCTTTATCACTTCTAAGAGCTTTGCAGTTGATTCCCTGGGGTTTTCCATGTATAAGATTATGTCACCCGCAAAGAGGGAGAGTTTGACTTCCTCTGCCTCCATTTGGATTCCTTTGATCTCCTTCTCTTGCCTGATTGTGATGGCTATGACTTCCAACACTATGTGAAATAGCGGTGGAGACAGTGGGCATCCTTGTCTGGTTCCAGATTTGAGTGGGAATGTTTTCAGTTTTACTCCATTCACTATGATATTGGCTGTGGGTTTGCTGTAGATAGCCTCTATCAGCTTAAGGAAAGTTCCCTCTAAGCTTATTTTCTTGGGTGTTTGTATCATGAAAGGATGCTGGATATTGTCAAAAGCCTTTTTTGCATCAGTTGAAAGAATCATATGGTCTTTGTTTTTTATTCTATTTATGTGGTATATTATATTTATAGATTTGCGTGTGTTGAACCAACCTTTTATCTCTGGGATAAAACCCACTTGATCATGGTGTACAACCACTTTAATGTGTTGTTGTATTCTGTTTGCTGATATCTTTTTTTTTTTTTTTT